TATATATATTTTTACTACAGAGAAAACAATTTGAATTTCTATTTATGGACTGCTTAATGGCCGGGAAAAGCCCGACATATGTTTCAATCTGCTTGGAATCAACGTGAATTGTTGTTAGATTTGCCTTATCAATTAGCTAGAATTGGATGTAGTTGATTTAAATACAGTAAAGCATAGAATCTGTCCGAGTTTCGTTTTGCTACTGCTGCTGCTACTCCTGCTTCCGTTGCTGCTGCTGCTGCTGCTGCCCCGGCTGCCCCTGCTGCAATTATTTACTTCCACTCAGTTGCCCGCAACGTTTTGCACTTCACTTGAACTAATTATTTCGTAATCTTTGCTTGAGCTCTCCGAATCCGATTCTGAGTTGCGTGGCGTGCTGCAAGAGAGGAGGGTTTCATTAGTGAGACTATCAATAAATAGACTGACGGTTATCAGTGAAATCATTTCGAAACAAATCATATACATATAGTAAACAATTGAAATTTAATACAAAAGCCAAAAAAAAGTGTGTCTGTATGTGTATGTGTGTGCATGTGTATGAGTGTGATAAATTAAAATTCATAAAACTTACTCAGTTAATGGGTTAATCTTGAAACTTAATATCCACACTTTAGGTAGAAGCTCAAATTCAATCAGAATCAGAACAGACTGCAATAGAGCTGCTTGAATGAGTTTCAATGGCAAATGGAATTGATATGGTACAGGGATTGCTTGGATTTGGATTTTATATCCATTAGAAACGCTTAACCCAGTTACAAAATGCCCTATATATGTATGTGGTAATACATATGCATATTTACAGATTGGCAAAAATGCAATTAGCTTTTCGACTACACAATGGGGTCTTAAAGATAATGATCTTCAAATATCTATACATATTTAGTTGTCAACTATTTTTAATATATTTACATATTTCTTGATTCATACTTTGTTTTCAAAATTTAGAACATTCTTTGACAAATTCCGAAAATCTCTTCAATGTCTTTTAACTTAGCTTAAGCCTATTTGCAATGGGAATGAATACAACTAAGTGTCCAGTTAATCAATATTTATTATAAAAAATTAAAATATATAAAATAAGCTGAGGTACATTTAACCATGCCCTTTTGTTTGCCTATTACCCGAATTATTATACAAAATTGTATTTTTAAATCTAGCGTCTTAGCAATATTTTCCAGTTACCATAAATGTTCAAAATCTAGCTTAACTATGTTTTCGATATTTCACGAAATAGATCCTTTTCATTTTTAGCCTTTGGTGAGAGTTATGAATGAATGACATGCTTAATAAAAGGAAATCAATATATAATCAAATGGAATGCAAAACAAGGACATAATTCGCAAAAGAAAAACAATGAGCAACAAAACTTAATGTATATTGAATTCAAAAAGTTTATAATTTATTAAGGAACATAAATTCACACAATTAACAGCTAGAGTTACTATGAGAAGTTACTTGAATTGCGAGTTAACAAAATCAAGGCCAATAAATTATATGTTAAAATTCGAGCAAATGCCATAGCAAACGAGATTCGTTCGTTAAATAGAACAAAATAAGCGGCCTGCTTACCCAACTTTGGTATCCTTGGCTTGCGCCTTTGGTTCCTTATCAACGCCTTCAGCTATATCTTCGTCGTCGTCCTCGTATTCATCAGCACCAACTTTGCGTCGCTTGCGCACCTCCATATCGGCATCATGCTCCTTAATAAGCTCAATTTTCTCTGGCTCCAATGGTGCCGCATCTACATCTGCATCCGCATCCGCATCAGCTTCAGCATCGCCATCGGCGTCAGCTTCAGCATCGCCATCGGCGTCGGCATCAACAGCCGTATCTTCCTCGCCGTCGCTGTCTTTGTCCTTTTTCTTTGATTTAGATTTGGATTTCTTGTCAGACTTTGAGGCGGATGTAGCAGCGGACTCATCATTAACGTAATTGCTCTGTGAAATGAGATTATTGCGATTAATTTATTTTCGTGCAGAGCTCGCTAACATACTTACCTCATACAAGGGCCAGAAGGAGGCAAAGAAGCCAACATCTTCGGTCAGATTCGGGAAGATCCAGAAATGCATTTTGCCGCCGGTCAGAGCCCACACAATGGTAAACACGATCAGACGCACAACAGTTAAAGCCAATATGAACACCAAGAAGCCGGCTGCGGCTATGGACAAGTAGTAAACACCCTTGCGCAGCATCGGCGGCCACAGAGGAAACAGGCAAATGCCCACGGCGCCAAGCAGCAATATGAAGCCAAAGATCCAATAGTGCAGCGGAATGGGATCATAGATCCACACATAGGCCTCAGAGCCGTCCACAAAGATCTGCTCAGGATGCATGTCGAGGCGGATTTTGCGCTTCTTTTTCTCCTTCTTATCACCGGCAGTCGCGGCCTGTGCGCCATCTCCATCGACGTCGAGATCGGTGTCCTTTTTATCCGAGGACGCTGAGGACTTGGCATTGGTCTTGCCGCTGGTCGATTCTGATTTGTCCTTTTCATGCGATTTGCTCGCCTCTGACTTTTTCTCCGACTTGCCGCGCAGCTCCTCCAGTGTCACGGGAACCTTTTTGGCGCGATGGAAAAACTTATGCTCCAGCATTACGTCCAAAAACTCGACGGCCTGTTCACGTGTGGTAAACAAAGGATTATCACCCTCGGCGAATTTGGACTTCATTAGAGCGTCGATGGCTTTACTCGACGTAAAGTACTCGACAACATGACTCAAAAATTTTGTCTTCTTTGTCTTCACATTCTTTTTCAGCCATTTGGCGACATTCTTCTCATCCTTCGACGGCTTGTCGACCTTTTGCTGTCCGGGTTCGGTGTATTCCTAAAAATATGAATACATCATTGACAATTATTATCCGAAATTGTTATATTTGAAAGTAAAATACACCATATTTTTCTATTTTGAACTGTTAAAAAAAAACCTATAAACAAAAACATTGCAAATCCAATTATAAAACTAAATTTTTCAATAAATTCATTCCATTCTCATACAACATCTGGGCAATAATTAAATATGTATATGGCAAGCACAATTATATTATAAAAAGGTTTTTTTTTTAATATAATGTAAACTTCACTTTCAAACAACGCATTTAGGCCACGACATCAAAATTGTATTTCGTCACACGGTATGTTTATTAACATATACTTATTTATGTGTACAATCAATCCTATAATAGGTACCATTCCATCATCAAAGATTTCCTGTTCGTCCTCCTCCTCCTCGCCGCCCTCTTGACAAAGGCGCTCTTCGTCGCTCATTATGTATTTATATTTGATTTATATAGAAAATAATTGTACACATATATAAGCAATGCAGTAGATCGTTGTACTTTTTGTTTTCCGAGCCGTGACGTGTTGCAATCGCTAAGCGAGTCTAGAAAGTATTAAATCTGAGCAGTAGACATCAGCAGCTGCTAGCTGGTCAAACAAGTGCTTACGATCAAAAACAGCTCACGATCAGTTGTATACACATCAATATGTCTACATATACACACACATATGTACGTGGAAGAAACTTTCCCCAAGAAAGAGCAACAACAACACAAAATCAGGCACAACACAATACAAACTAATCCGCTGATAAGTGGGTGCACCTGAGAACGTGTCAAAGACAAAGAGAGCGAGAGAGACTTCAAGAGAGCCAGACCTGATGAGCGCCGTCAACAACGAACGCATACCCAGCTTCGGCAAATCTTAACACACACATACATAGACGCGCAGCCCGACCGCAAAATACATCCATACAACTGATCTACGAAGTTGAGTTTACAACACAAGCTTTCAATTTACAGCGTTGCCAGACACCTGTATTAAAATTACAACCGCTGACAGCTGTTTTAGATTGCGCCCGGTGGGGGGCAAGGGTTATTGTTAGGCAAACAAAACTGAGTAAATTGAAAATTAACTGAATACAAAAGGTGTGTAAAAGTAGGCTTTCTTAAGCGTATACATGTATATTATTAATAGCCGGAACGCAAGCAGGGGGCATCCGAACATTGCAGAGCACCCACGCATATATATACAGGCATCACAACACGTAAATAGACACATACATAGCCAAATACAGCCAAGCCGCATGGCAGCTCCAGTTTGTAGAGTTGAACTTGCCCCCCGCTCAGGTACACTGATACGCGGTCTAATATATATACACATTTACACATAGACATATTGATATCAGCGTTTTGTTACCGAAGATTCGCCAATATTTCATTTCTTTCGTACATGAAAATGAAAACAAACACAGTGAACATGCCAATTGGACTACGGCAAATATATATACACACACGCGCATATAAATATATGCACAATCACATACTCATATATACAGAATCATCGCGCAAGACGTAAATGTTTTTTTTTTTCCTTGCGACATTTACGTCGTGTTTCAATGGGCTTCCAACTATTGACTTACATCTTTACGGCGGCGAGCTCGTTTCTTTTCCGACATTTTTGATTAAGCACGATGTAGTTGAGAGGTTTATAACTAATTGATTCTGAGTATTTTATTATTTCTGCCACACACGCACAACTAACTAGCGCACGTGAAGAGGAAGAGTGAAATCGTATGAAGTAAATACAAAACGCACCAAAAAATACCCAAAAAAATACTATTCCTTTCAAATAAAGCAAATAGCTGCATACCTAGCTTATTATACACATTTTGAAAGCAATACAAATTTTTGGAAAATGAAAATAGATAAAATTAAATTGTGTATCAAAATTGAAATGTGATACTAAACCAAATAAATTATTTGGAACTGACTACACTATCCCATAAGCCCAAACTTTTACCTTAAATTAAATTCATTTTGGCAAATTTTCTTTTATTTTTCATATTAACAAATTTCAATGACTGAGCAAAAGCAGAGACTCAAGGATATACTGAGCTAAGTTGGTCAATATCAGGCTAATAATGACCATCAACAAAAACGAACGATAATTGAAGTAGATGGTGTCTTGGTACGCCGACTCCTGTTTGGCAGGTGCCCAAACGCATGCGCACACGGTATACGTTATGATCAGCTTATTGAGGAATATGCAAACCCGCTGAGCACGCGTCATAGTGTCATTGATGCCTGTGCCCCGCCACTTGCCGGTCAGCGGCTGCCAGAGGCCCCAGTTGAGCCACTGCCGCTCGAACTCGGCAACGAATCGATCCCGCCAACTGTCTTCCACTGTCTGGTCGCCCGGCCGCACAACCATCGATGAGCTGAGGATTAGGAACTTATGGCGCACCCAACGATTCACCTTGAACACCTGCACCTGCTGCGTCTGTATGTCGATCACCTCGATGTGGTACAAATACCAGGTGGGATACCGTCCCTCGTTGTTGTGGACAACTGCGATGCGGGTGGGTATCCGTATATCCCTGCTGCGCAGCCACAATATATACGTAGAGTTGCGTGTCAGTTCGGGACTCTCCGGATTCTGCATTAGCGTAAACTGCAACTCAGCCCGCTTGGTTGTCTCAAAGATCAGACGCACCGTGGCCGTAGTCAAAGCATTGTCCCGGCAACCCGTTCTCAGGTAGATCAACAGGTCGTGCACATCCCGATCTGAGGCTTCCTCCAGGTCGGTCATGTCGCAGGCGATCGTTTTGCTAGGCTGATGATTATGATACCGAAACAGCAGCACCAGCACGATGAACGTGCCTAACAACGCGACAATGTAAACGCTCAGAACGACCCAGTTGAATAGAATATCCTTGGTGATATTGATGGGCACCGCAATGGCCGGCACATAGTACACATAGCTGGTAAATGTGCCCATCATGCTGCAGTTGCAGTATATGTACCCCTGCCTTGGATACTGCAGTCCCGGCAGGCAGTTAATGTGCTGCCAATGCTGTTCAGATTGCTTCCAATGGTCGCAGCTGCGCACCTGAAAAACAAACGAGAAGTTAGCCGGACCACCGGGTATCGGGCCATCCGATTCATCGTCGCTAAACAGCCGTATGACCAGATACACCCGTTCCGGCTCAGTGCATTTGTTGCGCAGTACCATCGTCGTGTTGGTCGAGTGGGCCGGCACGCTACACTCGGAATCGGCAATGGCAGACACTAGATTTGTGGGGAGGTTTTTCATCACCAGGAGCACATTTAGCCGGTGTGTGGTGTTCTTGAAGCGCACGGCAACCATAGACCTCTGCTGTAACTGCATGCGATAGGCGAGCAGTTGCATTTTCGTATTCAATTGGCCATATTCCAAGCAACTCCCATATTTGCCAGTTTCTGCGAGAGTATCATCATTATCCGATTCATCCTGAGATGCCGTGGCTCTTGATCTGCTCTTCCCCTCGATTTGTTGGCCATAGCTTCTGCTAGTATCGAGATCAAGCTGCTGGAATATACTCTCAATTTCTTCTGTAAAATACAAAATTAAATCAAGAAATATTCATGTTAAACTTTCTTCCCAATGGAACAGAGTCTAATTGCATGGGTGTGGTGACAGTCTCGATGCCATCATTGGCAGAAAATATGTAAATTCAAATCACATGGGATATACACCTTACGATGATAATAAATAAATAAATAAAGCTTAAGTAAACTAGAGAATGAAGTGGAACAAGAATGCCATAGTTGATAAGATTGTTAATCCACTTACGATTTTTGGGAATATCAAGGGCGGGCTTGAACCGGCCAGTGACCGTTCGAAAGGAAATATGGCTATTATGCAGCCGGAGCTCCTCTTGAAACTCATATCCGGTTTTGTTAGCATGCACAGTGAGCAACTCGTTACTCGGCTGCCTCTCCTCGGGATACCACCAGTTGAGCCTGCGTATTTTTGAGATGATCTTGATGCATACTTTATTTGTGAGGGGATCCTTAAGTTCATCAAGCAGTTCCGACGACAGGTACACCGTATGCCGTGCGTCATTCGTATCGATGGCATACTCAAGGCCAGGCTTGAATAGCATGCAGTGCACCGCGAGGGTCATAGTGTCTATAACAACGCCTGCTGTGTCATTCGAGTCCACGCCGTGTTTGCGAGCCGAGGATAGGAAACGACAAAGTCGCTCCGTTTGCCACAGGGATCTAACCCATTTCTCCGAATGCTCCTTCACCAACTCACTGTCAATTTGAGAGATCTCCTCGAGCAGATCATCAATGACTGGCTGTTGCAGTTTCTTATCCTTCACAGCCTGGTTATACTGATCGAAAATGGATTTGGCCGGAGGTGCTATGTACCTGTTAATAGCAGTCATAAAATTACTGATCTTAATAAGTTCGATCGTCGTATTCAAATAGGGCATTCGGATAAGGTGCCTCGCATCATTCGTATCCGTGACGATCTCAAAGTTTTCATTCAGCTTGGTCAGGCACTCTATCATAACCAACAAATCGATATCATCAATTGGCGTCAGATTGATAGCCAGGGTTTTTGTGAATTTAGCCAACAAGCTCAGCGTGATCAGCGATCTTGGATGAAATTCGCCGAAGGCTTTCATTAAGGTTAACGCGGTTTTCGGCTCGCGTATTACATTGGCGGCCGCTTGTGCTACCGCCATGAATCTCAATCGATCATTGACGTTGAAATAGCTAGACTGTGTGTCTTTAATATATGTCCACAAATCATTGGATGACTCCGTCGGTATATCACCCATCGAATGCACAGTCACCAATGGCATGTGTATCTTGGTGCATTTCCAATGTCTTTCACAGATCAACGCCATCAGATTTGTCACATTATTTGGCAAATACACTGGGCCATAGCAGTAAACGCATTCATGAATCAATACTTTATCCGCATACACAAAAAACAGCTTGACTTTTGCGTTAAATTTCCAGCAACATGCGTTGAATTTCGTAATGACCTCAGTGCCAGTTGTCGGTGCTATGTGACAGCTATAAATCGGGTTTTTGCGCGCCGTCAATAAATGCACCTGGGTGCCGATCCGAAAATCAGATGTGATAGCGCGTAAAACGACTTTGCTTTCTTCGTTGTTAGTTTGCAAACGCATGCGCAGATCCTTTGTCTGGGACGCCTCATATCCGTCTAAATACCAAGCATATTTGGGCTTATAACTGCCACAGTTGCGGCACTGGACCGCCATGTGTACAGTCTCCTCCGGATCATATGCATTCGACTCGCAGTTCTTTACGCACGTAACCTCCACCTGCAACGTTTTGAACTCCACAATTAGTAAAACCTGATGCGCATGCGATATTTGATGAGGATGAATATCGGAAGCCACTGACAGGCTAAACTCATATTTATTGCCAAGAGCAAACGATTTACGAGGTATAAGAAAGGTCGCTTCTGCAAATAACCAGAAGAAAAATGCTAGATATATTATTCTATAGATTATTAACGTATTTAATATTACGTGTCCAAGTTCGACCGTTGCACATTGTATTGTGGACATCATTTGACCTGCAGGTCCAGTTATATACATTAAATTGCTTTTCGTCTGGCCGTTTGGCGTAGTCCCGACTCGGCGAGCCATCCATGTAGATTTCTTCTTCTTCATGTACATTCCTCACAATGCCTCCACTAATGATCGCCTGCACCGCCTCCGCCAGGGCCTTCAGATAGCAGCGTGCTACAAATATTCTTCCGCCGGAGTCGCCGCTAATTTGCAGAACATATTGATTGCGATACGGCCCCGACTCGTTGGGAAAGCGCAGAGCGTATGGTTCCAAGGTGAGACCCAGTGATTGGTGATGAAACGTTTTCAACTTTGCTACAATTGAAAATGTGCTGGATTAAGTTTTGGAATAATACGGATTAAACTCACTCGTCTCTGCCAAGTCCATCACGGTCCAGGTGATATTATTGGTATCCATACCGCAATTGTTTAATAAATTTATCTCGATTTCGGAGCCGTACATCACACTGAACTCCATGGGGGTGTTTGGATGGAAGCAGGCTTCGTCTTCCGCATGGGGAATGCAGACATCACGCGATATATTCATAGTCAAAAAAATAGTCCTGGCAACTGGATTAAATCCAGAATGAGACTTTAGACTGCACAAGCCGCCTAGGGTCAGTCGGATGTTGCTCGACTGCCAGAAGGTTGCATTCAGCTCCGCAAAGTAACCCCGCTCATAGCTCAGGTTCACACTGGGCACGATGTGGAGCCGACTCAACTCGTTCGCAATATTATCCGTCTTTTGGAATAACGGTTTCATGGGGGGCTCAATGTTTGGGCCAACGATCCACTGCGCCACCAGATATCTCGGCGAGCTAACTCGCAGCCGCAGCTCGCACTTGGGATAGCCGGACATGGTGACCACCAATGGAGTCGGCACACCGTAAGACACCACCTTGTTGGCATACAGCCCCAACTCAATCCTATCCTCGTTTCTTGCCAGCGACACCAGCAATAAAACCAAGACATTCACTGTATATCCTCGGAGCTCCATGATGAGCTCCAACTGCTGCTAATTCAGTCAGATTTCTATTTTTCCGATTACATATTAACTTGACCAAATATAACTCAACAAAATTCTCTCAACTAGTTTTCAAATGTATGTATGTATGTATGTATTATTCTGTGTCTGTTGTCGGCTGCCCAGCTGCTGTTTTTATACTAACCGAAACTGTATATTACAAAAATTAAATATACAAAATGTTTTTTCTTTAACATATGGGTACTACGATTGTTTTTATATAATCAAAATTGATCAATTAATAATGTTAAATAAATAGAGAAAAACAGCTTGATATACAAGCTTAAATAATCCCAAAGATTCTTGGCCCCGAAAATATAATAGCATCACTTAAAATGGTTAAATTAGTTGTTGGGATTATAGTTAAAAATTAAGGTTTTTTATTATTCTTTGTTTTACAACAAAATACAGACTAAATAAT